CAATAGATTTTTCCACTTTTTTCCAGAAATAAGCACTGTTAAAAGATTCAGAATGGACAATTATGCATATTTCCATTCATTATCGAGATGTCTAGCGATCAATTCAGACCAGTCCTGTAGCTTTCCAAGACAATCCATGTAACGCATCAAACGGTAAAAGTTAGAAGTCTCGAGTTCTCATCAACAGAGGCCTATGGTTTCGAACTACATCTGGGTGGATATTTAAAACAAGATGCTGAAATTTTGATTAAGTCTGAAAAAATTGATTAAGAATAAGCTAATTAGACACCGTTGATATTTGAATTTTCTATTTCTTTTCGTTAATATTTTGCATTTCTTAAGCAGATTCGATTATTGTACAGTGTCCACAATCGTTTAGTAGCATATGTGAATCAACTATGTAATAATCTACTAAACATGATAGATGATAAATACTTGAACAAGTAAAGTACTATTTCTAATGCGAATAGTTAACAGTTTACTTTTATTTCAATTTAGAGTGGTTCTTGTTGAAATCAATTGACGTTTATTGTCTTTATTATACTATATGTTCACTTTGTCGACATACACACGGAAATTAATCAAATTTTCTAAAGAATTCGATTATTTTTATCAAATATGATCATGCTCTACTCTGTTGAATATTTTCCGTGAACAAACTAGATCTATCTATCTATCTTGTCATTCTTACAGTGCTTTTGTTTTTTCTCGTGATTTGTAGTGTGCCCTTTGACTATTTTTTATGTAAATTTCCACTGCGTGTGTGATAATTTTAGTAATTTCTAACTAACTTATATAAAATATATGCACATCACAATATTTATTTAAATAAATAAGTTTTTTTTCGTTAATTTTTTAAATAAAAATATAAAAATATGTTCTTTTATTGGCGTATACTTCCTTATTCTGTTGCATGGTCTTCTTATTACTGTTCCTTTTATAAGCAATTGAGTAACAAGCAAACATTTTGTACTTCATTCGGAAAAACTTTACTTTATTTATTTTGCTTAAAGATTATTTGTAGTCGTAAAAGTTTTTGTTTGTAGTTATTTTATACATTTGTAGATCATGCAATCACCATCGTCATCATCTCGACTAGCTGCTAATTTAATAAAACAAGCTAAACAAACATTTTCAAACATTTTACGTAGTTCAAATTTAAATAACAATCTAAACAATAATTGCACATCTCATGCTACTGATGGGATGAAAAGATCACTTGACTTTGAACCATTAACAAGATTATTGAGTAAAATAACAAAACATGATTTAAATTTTACATTATTGGATGATGTACGCTGTTTATCTGAATCAAATTCAAATTCAGAACATTTTTCATCATCAGTCGCCTACGAAAATGCGCTAACATTTTTAAGTTCGAAAGCACCCGTTTTTTATATGAAACTATATGAAGATAATCTCATAAGCGCTGGAATATTTATTATAAAACAAAATCATAAAATGCCAATACATGATCATCCGAATATGTATGGATTAATCAAAGTTCTTGATGGACACGGCCATATTAATGCTTATAGCGCTCTTGGTCAACCACAAACATCGGATAATGAAAATTTAAATTGTACAAAAACAACATCAACTTCAATTCATGCACAATCTGATGTTGCTGTACTATATCCAGATCGATCAAATATTCATGAGATATATGCAACAAACAATGATCACTGTGCATTTCTCGATATTCTAGCACCACCCTATTCAAATGAAAACGATTGTAGTTTTTTTGAAGTATTTCCTAATCCAGTTGACAGTACAAATAATGCGACATGTAGATATTTATTGAAACGCGTATACGCAACAGACTATTACACAGAATCATTGCAATATACGGGACCGACCATTTCGTGAACGTTTTTTTTTGTTTTTTTATATA